TGAAATAGCAGCCACTCTAATCACCAGTCGGTCGACTCAGTCCCGATCAGTGCGAAAAACATCGAGCAATGCCGAGTCTTCTCGTATACGAGACAACACGTGTTTATTGTGTTTACACGGTGTGTCATCTCGATTAAATTAGAGCATCGTGGTCAGATTACGGCATAGGTACATATGGTGTTACGTTACTCAGTGTGGTTTTTTAGTGACACCCTCCACTCTCTTATTGGATATATTAACAGCTTTTATTACGGATCTAACGAACAAGGATTAAAAACATGGATCTAGGTGACAGAGTTTACGCCGCGGAACGGATTATAAAGAAGAGGGAAAAGCGGGTAAGAGAAATGCGAACCGTCACCAGCAGATAGCGCCACTACATGGAATCTGTTTGTCTACGCGTCGTTGCCGGTTCCTCCTCCCCTCTTCGTGATCTTTCTCTTTCCCACCTCTATCGTTTCGACAATTCTGCCCCTCCCGTTGCGATTTCTATCATGTACGATGGTCTCGATATCTCTCATCGAACTCGAACAGGCACGTTTTATTGGTACATTAACGTTTTATAGGAAATACTACGTTTATTTATTTCGTTATATTGTAAATATGCCTTTAAATATCTATGCATTACCGCGTGCCTTTTCGGGAAAAATAAATGTTATGATAATTTTCTTTTTCTTTTTAGTTTTTAATTTTCAAACTCATTATTCATTTAATTTGTTCGAATTCTATTAATTGATACTTTTATTACAATTTACTACGATTTATTGAAACACTTAATGAAACTTTGTAATAAATGAAAGGATTACTAAATTTCTAATCAATTTGTGAAACTTATTGCTTGCTAATTAACCCAAACAATGTTTTCTTCTGAAAGATAAATGGGTCATAACTATATATGTAGCGTATAACACGTGATAGTAATTGGAAGTCTACAAATATACTTGAAATTCTGATTAACTTAATTTTACAAAAATTTTTTAATTCTCAGTTGACAATCGTTTCATTTCCTTATATCACGACTTATGATGGCACAAACTAAAATATCAGAATTTCATATTCATATTCAATTCAAAATTCGCGCCAGAGATATTATAACATGTTCGTAATCATATTCACACCATATGAAGGTGATTACACAACAGTCTATTATCCTTGTCCAAACTTACAAATTCAATATTTCAATTAAAAACGCGCTGACATTCAGATTTCAAGTGGAGAATTCTCCAAATAATCTCGCATTAAACTTATAATAATATTGATTGATTTATTATTGCACCAATATCTGTGATATGGTTGTTTGAAAACGGTCGCGATTTATGCAAGAATTTGTGCGTTTTTACCGTGGCGGTGATCTTCGGAGTAACGACATGGTCTCGGCTGGCAACGTTGTAAATCGACATAAAACACGCGAGATTTCTCAGCTGCGAGCGGCTCATGCGCGATAAAGCAACGTGTCCTATACCTGCACAGTTATGTCATTGTTTTCCAACTGTCAGACTAGCTGCGCACCTAGAGCGGTCGGCATGCTTTCGTTCGTTGGCCGACGGCCAATAGGTGAGCCGTATCAGCGGTTCTCGTGGAAGTCAACGCCGCCCGTTTTATCGACCGTACGCTCCTACGGAGATGGATTCGAAAATCCGTCGTTCCGACGCAGACGCGCGAAACGGATCTTTGCAATCGGCCACATTCTGACATCGTGATCAACGATGACTGGCGCCAAGGGTCTTTTTATCGGTCGACGTATTCAAACAACCACTCATACATAATACATAACTATTATGTTTGTTATATAAAAATTTTATAAAAATTCTATAAAAATAAGAAATTAAATTATGTATCAAATGTGTTCGTCATAAATTATGCCTGTATCTAGTAAAACAAAGAGGATAAAGTCGTAGTCATTGTAGATCTATTTTTTATCGTTTTATGTGATATCGAAATTGTACAATTCTTAAAATTACGTAAAAATTCAAAATTTAATCATGTATCAAATATCCTTTTGCAAAATGATATCTGCATATAGCGTATTAATCCATTAAGAATGAAGTAGTGGGATAATGTAGGAAAATTGCGTAAACGTAATATTATTGAAAAAATAAGTTAAATAAATTATAAAGATTATCGTTTTACGAAAATATAATAAATATGGCGTTAACATCACGTTGATTTTTAATGAGTTATTAGAAAAATTGTGTATCAAGTACCCTCGTGACAAATTGTCATCTGCATATAGTACGTATGTTAATATGAAAAGGATAAAATCGTACATCGTAGTCATAGTCTTATCTCGATTTCTCATTGCGTCTATGTCACAGATCTGCAAGATTTGGAAGAGTGCAATGTGCATTGCACAATTCAGTAGAGATTGTAAAAATCTTCTGGTTTCTATTAAAACGCTTCTCTCTTTTTTCTTTTGGTAAAAGCGTCGTACCGGGAAATGGAGGGACGATTTAGGGGATGATGTTTCGTTAGGCTACTTCCAGATGGAGAAATGATACAATTCCTGCATCTTGGTTATCTTTCAATACATAATTCGTTAGGTTTATGAGTAATTCATTAGGGCATAATTTTGTTGATAGTATGATATTGGATATTTTTATCTGATTTAAGTACTGATTATATTAATATCGTTCCTCTTGTATAAATATCATAAGCGATATATATGTGTATTATAGTAATTCATTGAATGTAATCAGATAATTTTATAGATGATGAATCAAGCTTAGGATACTACTCTTTGTTACTCTACATTCACGATCCTAACATAAAGAGAGTAATAATTTGTGCATATTAGTACTCCTTGGAGTATCTTATAAACATTTATTTTACAATAGTTAGATTTCCATTCTTTATGCTTGCACATGTAATATAGCTGCAAAATATTACACTAAAAATACTGGTTTTTTTTTTTAGAAGTATTTCGTGTAGCATTGATATAGATGAGCTTCTAAAAAATTTTAGTTATTATTAAAAATATAACATAAAAATAATAACACGCTAATAAAGATACTTCATTTTTGAACTGCATAAAATTATTTAGTTAAATTTTCAATTAAAAATATCGGATCTGTATCTTCGTGAGGTGTATAATTGCCGGATTCACTTCCATATTTTATTCTTATAGTTATGAATTATTTGTCATAAGTAAATGATTTCTGTTTCTGCCAGGGCAAAGTAGAGTACTTCGTAAAATGGAAAGGATGGAGCAAAAAGTAAGTTAAAAGTACAATTGATAAAGTTGTTAACAGGTTCATTATCATTAACAGATTATGAATGTAAGCGTTTTCACTTTTTACAGACACAACACATGGGAACCCGAAGAAAACATTTTAGACGTCAGGTTAATTGAATTATACGAAGAAAGTCAAAAAGGTGGAGATGTGACTGCAAGGAGACCTAGGCGGAGGGATACTAGATATAACGTAAGTAATTTATTCATATTCGCAATTCATGTTCGCAAAATTATATATATGTAATATGATAATATATTACTGTGTACTGTAGTACATACTGCATATTTTCTAATTCAAATTTTCAAATTTAAATTATTGACATTGCATTTAAATGTGTTTTTAATTAAATGTGTGGAAATGGAAATTATTAAAAATTAAGCTTTCATTCAATTATATTGAAACCTTTTCCATTCTTAGCAGTAAGATAATTATTGTATTTTCTTCTATAATTTTTAACGTAAAATTGTACAAATATTTCAATAAACTAAATCATTTTTATAATTCACAGGAACACGTTTTGGCTAACTTGGTCGTCGAGGAAGAGCCCGGCGGAGACGAGAGAGTTGGAGAAGATAGTCAAGACGAATCAACTATCGGTAGCACCTCCGCGCCTCGCCTAAATCCCGTTGCACCTGACGAAGATACGCTTCCGAGTTCCGTCGATGGGCACGAATCGCCAACAGCCCCAGAATTATCTGCATCCGCGTTCAGTGTTGATTCAGATTGTTCCAATAGTAGTATAGACAGTCCTCTACTGCCTAGGAGAGAACCGACTGGTACGAAAAGAAAGGCCGAGGTTCTCAGCAAAGAATCGGGAAAAATTGGTGTTACCATTACTACGAGCAGTCCAAGCAGTGGTAGTGGAAGTCCTCCTCCAAACAAAATACCTCGACTATTGCCCCTGAAGAGTAATCCAACGTCTCCCTCTTATCACGTAAGTATTCATTCGTTCCTCTTCTTCTCTTCGTCTTATGGAGTTTATCTATAGAGTTTAATCAGTGCTAATCTATATTTTGAATTTATAGATAGTTAACAAAGTGTTCAATTATATACAACGAATCACAGAAGTGTCCATAATTTCGAAATCTATCAAAAATTTGTAACATATATTATAATAAGGACAAAAAATAATAAAATAAATAAGGAATACATTGAAATAAATTCTAAAATAATAAACATATGATTGTAAATACAGAGTAAATACAGATTGTAAATACATAAATGATTGTTGCAGAGTCACAAGGTAAACGGCAGGAGGCCGTCATCGTCAAGCGTGAAGTCGACACCGGAGGAACCGCTGCCAGCGGTGCCGACGACACCAGCTCCAGCGGTGCAAGAGAAAAAGCGTGCCGAAGCTGACGTGCCTCACGGTCCTCCACCCTCGCTGCCGCGTGCACCGCCAGCACCTCTCTCCCCTCAGATAGACACGCCTTTGGAACAGCCTACCAAAAAGAGGCACTTGTCTGAGCAAAAACAAGAGAAGTCGAACGGAGCTGTGACAGTAGACGCGAACGGTCACAAGTCACCTAGCCCTACGGATTCATATACAAACAACAACAGGTTACCGACCGTCGTCAATGGGCATCATAGTCATAACAATAGCAACAATCATAACAACAGTAATAGCAACAATAGCAATACATCGAGCGTAAAGCAAACGGAAATCTCGAAGACCGACATGTATGTCCCTCTTTCAAGTCCTGGTACGGACTACTGGCACGCGCGGAATCCAGTTGCCGATCAGGTGTTCATTACAGACGTGACGGTAAATTTGAAGACCGTTACCATCAGGGAGTGCAAGACTGAAAAAGGATTCTTCCGGGAAAGGGATCCAAAGAGCGATATCTATTAACGATCTTTAAATAAGGACGCTTTAACGCGAATTTCTAATACTGAACCAGCTTGTAAATATAAATTATTTTCACACGTTGAAGTGTAGAGTCGAAAATGCTGAACACATATATATATATATATACATACACGTATATATATATACGTATATATATATATATATATATATATATATATATATATATATATATATATATATATATATATATATATATATATATATATATATATATATATATATATATATATATATATATATATATATATATATATATATATATATATATATATATATATATATATATATATATATATATATATATATATATATATATATATATATGTATGTATATACGTATATGTATACTTATATTATATGTCGGAGATGAAAGGACACCGGAGCCTTCCCTCTGGAACTTCGGGAAAATCCGTAAAATTGTAATTAAAGCTTACAGTTTGTGATTAAACAACTTACCGTCATTCTATCCAATCGTACTTGTTGGCGATCAGTTATAATAAACTTGGGCTCAAGGCGACCATTAGCAGCCAAACGTAGCCGCGGTCAACGGGACGGGCACTTCATCTAACAAAGGTACGGAGGGATAGTATGATCCTCGTTAAAAGAATACCCATAGAGGTACCTGACAGTATAATATGCCAACAGTTCCTTCGGACAATGAATACCGGATGTTGAGGCACTTACATAGCACAAATCCAGTTAGCCCGAAGATCCGCTATAAAACCTGGGTTTTTTCGGTCATTAAGATTCTTCAAACGGACAAGCAGTCTTTGCCCCAAATTGGCCAATTGACAGCGACGTCAATTTCGCTTACTCTCGGAACGAGGGCTATACTCGACGAATCCGATGAACTCGTGTCCGTAGACACACCCCATCATAGCTTTCCTCGGTGGCATCATCGGGACGAAAATTCATTCTTTCTTGAGATCTGATCGACGAAGGGAGTAGCGTCTTACGATCGATGAATGGTACACGTTTCAATTAGAGCAAGTATATCTATTCTCCCGTTGACCGTGGATTCGTTATCGAACTCAAGACCAACGTAGTATCGCAAGTGCCCAACCACCGCGGTTGATCGTCGAATCCGTAGTATTACCAGGCCGTACCTTTGTTATAACCCCGTGATGGCCCATTCCAAGATCTAGCAAACGCCCACAACTCTATTCCTGACGCTTCTCCGACATATATATATAAGGACTTTTTCTAAAAAAAGTAAAACGGACTCTTTTTTGGTGATTGCGAAGAGGATGGTCGAGGTTATGTGTAATTACAAAGAAATTGTTCAACTCGCAGTTTCCTAGAACAAGATGTTACGTGAACCTAAAATTGGACGTGGATTTGATTGGGGACAAAAATTCGAACGGTCAGTTCCGGCGTTTCGAATAGAAAATTATCGTGTAAGTCGGCGGATAAAAGATAATAAGACTATCGTTATGCGACAAATAAACGCGAAAGAACAAGGGTACACGAGTCACTGTCACGTCGTGGCATACACTTGTACATTTTAAAGACGCTTGATAGACCGTAAACTCTGTGTACGAAAATCAGACAAAAAAGAAAATGCAAAAAGATCTGAAAGAAACATTTTAGAGGATAAATAACATTTTCTCATTGATTGCATTTCCGCTTGTATTAGAATTCTGCAGAAAAGAAAAAAAAAACGGATAAAGAATGGTGGAATACCATTGTAAATTAGTTAATTTCAAATTTTAATATGATAAAATAGTACAGATCTGGAAAGAAATATTTTTCTAATTCATTTTTAGAATAATCAAAGCAGCTTCGTAGAAGCGTTTTAAGAAAATACGAAAAAAATGAATTTTCGAGTATATAGAAACAAAAGTAACAAAAAAGGAACTAATGTTATCTTGATGACGTATTTCTCAGCATTATGATATTATATTGTATTTAACTGATGAATGTCACTCTCATTTCTTTGTCTCTTTTTCTTAGCGAGTAATATTTTGTCACAAGAAGAAATGAAAAGAGGTGTACCATTCGTTCGTAGATTTTAGATTTGTTTAGAGGCACGAACGCATTATTGATTTTTTTTTTTTTTTTTTTTTCAAGTTGTTATAGCATCACACTCACACGAACAGATTGATTTTTTTTTTTTTTTTTTTTTTCAAGTTGTTATAGCATCACACTCACACGAACAGACCTACACACACGTACACATACAGTTCAATGCACAGTGACGAACAAGCTGAAAAAGGGAAGCAAAACGATGTACGTTATCAACAACGTAGTACATGATAACTTTGTAATCTATATAACATGTTTTATATCGGTTGTCGGTGTTTTTGTTACGAATCGATTAAGTATTGTTTAAACGTGTTAGATGTTGCATTTTTTTTTTATACCTTCAAAGGTATCTTTTCTTTCATTTCCCTTTTTTTTTCCATTTGAATTTAAGGACTGACTGCGTATTATACGTTTTCATACACGCGACATTTAATTCCAACCATATATATACTTACGAATATGTATTTCGAGAAATATTTATGCATATCCTTGAGAGAGCGCCATTTTATTTTTTTAAGATGGGTTGTCGACGTGTATTCACCAAATAGGAATGTTCCTACCTCGAAAACGGTCATCATGAACAGAGAATCGAGTACAACCAAATTCTAATGATCTTCTATCCAAACAATGTAATTAATTAATGTCGTTAAACTTCCTCAAACATTGACTCTATTCTCTTCCTTTTATTTTATTTTATTTCATCTTTCTTTCTCTTTTTAACTTCCGCTGCACCGTACATTTGGCGCCGCGTGTGCACCAATTTCGGAACCAGTAAATTCGTGATACAGTTAATTGTATAAGCGTAAATCTTAAAAGGAAAAAAATACATATACGTTGCTTATTTATTCTAACTAATATAAAGGAAGAAAAGTTTTTTTTTTGGTTTTTACATTCTTAGTATAGTATTAGAGACTATGCGCGCAATACGTCCCATTTTACGAGGAAAGGACAAATTTTCTTCTCTATCGTACATTAAAATTGATTAACTATATAATTTAAAATGATAAATCGACGATACATTAGTAACAGATGTTTAATATTTCTTCTTTTTTTTTCCGATTGACTATGTACGATCTATTTCCAAGCGAGAAGCAGAATTGTAACGGTTTATCTTTTTAAACGAGAAAAAAAAATGGGACTATTTGCGCGCAGTTAGGTCGCGCGATTTCTTGCAATTCGCGTCTGCAAGGAATTTTAAATACGCGTTTATTAAATTGTTGTGTAATGTAAACCAATACACTCTGTATATTGAGAGAGAAATATTCTGTAAAAATTGTAAATAGTTGAACACTTACAATTCTATGATAACGGAGCGATTTTAGAGCGAGAGTGAGAATGAAACAAAGAGAGAGAGAGAGAGAGAGAGAGAAAACGCGTAGCTTTAGACCTTTCAGTTTATCATAATTGTAAATAGAGAAACGGAAAGCAAGAAACCCCTTTAAGTTGTAAATGTAAGAATCGCAGAACTGCTGATCTAGGAGAAAAATCCTTTTTAGCTTTAGAGACTTTGAGATAGACTGTGCGCGTACCTTCAATATTGTTTCTGTACTTATAGAAATATTCAGATTCTACTTATAACGATTTAAAAAAAAAAAAAAAAGATGAAGTCAACACAGATACACACACACCGACACAAGGAGAGAGGAAAAAATGTGAAAAGATAACCCAGCGATTACGCAGGCATATACGATATGAACCCCGGTAGTACCAAATTTAAACGGTAATTTTAGTTCTGTCTGGTACAGATTCCTTATATTTCAATAAAATCTTTATTTGAATCTTTGCTCGCGTGCAGTACTTGTTTACCATCCACTCAAAGCCGAAATTCATGCGCTTTATTTATTGAATTAGCTTGAAAGCCTGATCAGTTTTTCTTTTTCTAAGTTCCCACTTATGTTACTGTCCATAATGTGTAAAGTTAAGGGAGAATAAAGCAACAGTTACTCGAAAAAAAGGTTTCGTCGAATAGAGTATGTTAAAGTATAAACATTATTGTGTTTAATGTTTTATCAATTTTCTTTCTTTTTATTAATATCACACATTCATCATTAATATTTAACGAATATACAGAATACAATAATATGAGTATAATCATTATAAAGATACAATTTTTTACAATAAGAAATTGAAACTTATCGGTAGAGGAAGTAATTCAATTTAAAACCGATCAATTCTATTATGTTAGTAGAATTAATAAATGACTAGTTCATCTACTATTGATAAAGAAGATTCCCTACGGTTCGAATCTACTATGTCGATATATTGTATTGCCGATTCCGATAAAAGGAATACTACAGTTATCGATGCATTTTATGACGTGCATAAAGTATTTCAGATGTCGCTAAACTACAATTTCAATTGCTGTAGTAGATGAATGTGTAGTCTGTAAATTAATAACAAGTTTTTAAAATATTTTATTATAGTTGATATTTTTATTTATGAATATTAAATATATAAATAATTATACAAATTTTTTTACATTTATTAAGATTATTACTAGCTGTTATTACGATTGTGAAAAAATATACTATGATTCTTCGAAATGAAGTTGCACCTAAAGATTTAGGTATTTTTATCATTACAGTTGCAGAAATGGTAGATGAAGTTTGTTTAAGTATTTGGATCTTTGGATACGAGAAGACACCATGTGATAGGCATTTGGTTTGGTTAATTTATGTTTTAAGCTTTTGTAGTTATCAAAATATAATATTTTTTACTGTATTTTGTATTTTATTGTGTCATTAATATATGGGGTATACAATACCGCGTTTAATTATTAGGAATATTGGTCTCTTACGACATAAGTGAAAAAATGCAGATGAAATTAAATACGCAACGCGAATCAACAAATATTGAAGTAATTGATGTAGACGATTTAGTTTTAACGAGAAAAGGCGGAGGAAGTATAATTGATCAACGGCCAGTTTTTTCACACGATGGAGAGTAAGTTTTAATTCAGCATATACAAAAATTATAATTTTTTTTGGCGTTTAAATATAAAATTTCTGGTTGTAAACATGATGGTACTAAACATGTACTTCATTAATTTTGTTAATGAAATTATATGAGTAAATATCGTTATAAATGTTGGACTACGGTATTCAAGAACAAAGTTATAGTTAATATTTCTATTAAATAATACATATACGTTACAGAACATTATACATAGTATGGAAGCATATTATAAGAGCTTACAGTACACAAACTGGAGATTTTGTTAAAGAATTAGAACCAGCAAATTACAGAATTGCAGGATTAATAATACATCCAGAAAATCCTAATCTGATCATTGCCTGTACAGAAAATGGAGAATTAAATTTTTGGAGTTGTCAAAGCGGCATTATCACAAAGAAATTGGTATAAATATTAATATCCACTATGGATTTACACATTGGATACATTTAAATGTATTTTTTACCATGATTTTCCTTTTTGAGGCTTTTATAAATCCATAATTGTTATACTTTTTACAGAAATTAAAATTTCAAATAGAGCCAAAAATAAAAACGTTTCACATTGTAAATTATAAAACTCATAATGGAAATGAGTTGCGTCAAGTGCTTGTAACATATATTTCCAAATGCAATACAAAAATTTATATAGTGTTATTTGATCTAGATAATGGAGTTTGTGCAAAGTCTACGTGTATATCGTAAGAAAAATTTGCACTTCAATAATTATGAATGAAGCTCTTATTATGTATTATTTATGTGATGTATTATTCTTACATATTATTACAGGACAAAATCTTATGAATACTATGTTGATATAATTGGTAATCATGGTGAAAATTTAATAGCACTCCTTCATGATGTAGATTTGCATATATTGAATCCATCAAGAAATTTTGTTGATAAATTGTATGTATTATACTTAGGAAAAATTATTTAACATTAAAGACAAACTGAAATTTTCAATAAAAAATACTTATAAATGCCACTGTATTTCATGATCACAGACATAAGACAGGTAAAACAGGTAGAATACCAACATGCATTGCTGGACATCCAGAAGAAGAATGTGTTGCCACAGGAGATACAACTGGTCGTGTCGTAGTATGGAAGGGTTTGTTTCAAACAAGACCTTATACAGCAGTTTATCATTGGCATACGTTACCTGTTACAGAAATAGCATTCAGTAAATCAGGTAAGATATATATTTCTTATATTTTTTTAAATTTCAACATGTACAATAACTGTATATACCATAAAAATTGCAGGTGGTCACATGTATACAGGAGGAGGAGAATGTGTTCTAGTGAAATGGGTTTTAGCAAATTCACATCAAAAATCCTTCCTTCCTCGATTACCTGCACCTATTAAACACCTTACTATTGCTCCTGATAATTTATATGTGGCTGTATCTACTTTAGATAATGGTATGAATATTTTTAGATATTTAAATCTTTAGATCTATTTTAGATAGATGAAATATATTTATAAAATATATCTATATTCATAGGTATCGTGGTTGTAAATCCACAAAGAAAATTGACATCAGTTATACAAAATTTTACATGGGGCGTGACCTTATCTTCTAAAGATTTATTTCCTGCTGGCCTTATCGTTGATCCACGTACGAATTGTTTAGTTTTAAATAGTCGTACCGGACATGTTCAATTTTATAATACCCATACGAAAAGTTTATTATATAATGTGAGTAACAGTGTAATATAAAACAGGTAAAAAATTTACACTATGTCGTTTATCAACTTGTTAATAAATTTTCAGATAAATATTACGGCACAAAATTTTTTAACGCAAGAGCGTAATGTACTTATTATAAACACGGAAGTTACAAAGATAGCAATAAATCATGATGGTATGTGGATGGCGACTGTTGAAGAACGAAACGATAAAATGTCATGTATAGAAGTGAGGCTGAAATTTTGGATGTATAACGTTAAACAACAACAGTAAGTACAAGATATGCATTCTTGATGTGTAAATATTAAGTTTCTGTGTTGTCAACCTGTTAGGTACGCATTAAACACGTCAATCGAGCTTCCTCACGATGGCGGTGTGAATGCTTTGCACTTCCAACCGTGCATGTTATTCGGTGACGAGGGAGCACTGGCAGTTACAACAGGCAGAGATAGAAAATTCAAATTATGGCATCTCGTAGAACCTTCATCCTTACACAGTATGTAAAAGTTATATTGTAATAAGAGAATTGTAGTATTAAACTTTAAGATTATATTTGTTGTAGAAAAAAATAAATACTGGCAGTGCCATAGTGTAGGAGATTACAGAAATCTGCCTGCAACGGATGCTGGTTTTTCAATTGATGGTTCATTAGTTGGTATTGGTTTCGATTCTAGTCTAACAATATGGACTCCCGATACTTGTACGTTTAAATGTAGCCTTACACACTGTCAATATCAGTATCCAGTGACGTAAGTTTTATGAAAAATAGACCTTATAATAATCATAAGAACAGCATTGGGATTATTATATATGTTTTACTAGGCGAATTGAATTTGGAAAGCAAGATGCTTGTCATCTTGTGGTAGCAGTTTCCACGCAGCATATTGCGGTGTGGAACATCCTATCGCTTACGTTAATATGGAGCGTACCTCTAAAAATTGCAACTCTTACGGCAGATCCGAAATCAACGTACATGGCTGTTTTCACCACCGATAATTCACGTAAATATATAACTTGCTTTAAAAGATACCCAAATTTTTATTTTTGCATAGCAAGTAATCTATTAATTTTAGTGTTTGTATTCACACCCCACAAATCGACACCCGTCTACACAAGAAAAGATTTTATCGAAAATAATAGTTTCATTTTGGGAGCCACCTTTGTACCACATTTACAAGTGAAACGAGATTCATCGTACAGATTGTGGCAACGAAGATCGCAGCTTTTCTTTTTAGATTCTAATCAAGTATGTACACAGCAAATGTATGCAAAACGTATTGATATAAAATATCTGTACATTTATTGAATCATCCAATACAATGATCATATGTACTATATATATTTAATTGTTTTATCAATAGGAATTATTAACGTTAGAACCAGAATCTGAAGTGACTATTTCTCTTGAAATTTTATCTACGAATGCAACAGTTCCTGCTACCGCGTTTAGCCATCTAATAGCGAGCACAACTACCACAGACAAGGAAGTACCCGCTCTATTTATGCACGAACAACTGAAAACAGGAAAAGGAATGGTAAAAGAGGTAAGTAAAAAAAATATACCTTTGCAATTTATGTTTATAATTAGTGGACGTATGATTCGACAGGTAGGTGATATTCATCTGAAAATAATTTCGTGATAGAAAAAATAATTTTATTCTAGAACATATTCTCATTTTACAATGAGATCAAAGAGCGTTTATATATACACAATTTCTCGTAAAATATAGTATAAATAATTAAGTAGGAAATATAGAAGTACAAGTAATATTAATAACTTAATACAATATATAGTAATCTTTATCAAAGTTTTAATCTTAGGAAAATGGAAACTGTTAATCCCGTAAGATATTCTCATCTTTTTATCTATCTTCTTTCCCGTTTCTATTTTATACAAATTAAAAGATGAAGATAAATTTTGAAGTCTTGGAAATACAGTCTTGCAGTAAATAACGAGACATGAAGAATTAAATTAAAATCTATGCAAGTTGCATTTATCAACTAAGTTCATAAGTAATTCCAAAGTGTTATTATGGCGTGCCACATCTCATTTCATTTTTATATAAGTTTGAGTATTTGCAGCAGAACATTTAGAACAGCTGGTCGATGAAACTTGAAATATCGTGACTTATTCGTTGCGGTCGTCCATACGGGATTGCGATGAGTTTGTGTTTGTCAGTGTTTCCTTCCTAAACGGTAATTCCGACACCGGCGTACGAGATCGAATTTTCTGTAGCGTAAACAGTGCCACTGTGGGATCTGTCGCATATTCTCGATCGCCTGCAAGTTATACATCTTAAAAAAATAATTGGTAACGTTTAATAAAACTTAAAGAACTGTGTGCACTATGAAACAAATATATAAATAAATTGAACAATCGTTTCGATAAAAGGAAGTCGCAATTTAAAATGTTCCTTTTTTATGCAAATTTTATTTATAAATCACTTTTATCATTTCTGTTTTAATAATTGTGACGTTTTTTTTTTATTTAATTTTAGAATTTAATTTAAAAATTATACAAAATTAAAACTATGATATATTTAAAGTAATTTAACATCATCCTTCCGTTTCTCAATTATATTACAATTTTAATATCGCTATGAAATATTAAAAAAATTGTGATAAAAATATTTGTGAAATAGAATCTCGAGATTGTGACTTTGGAGGAATTAATTATAATCGAACGATTCGAACGGAATTTTCACAAGCATGATTTCTGTTTACGGTACCACCTACAGTTCGGTTTGATTAGATATACCAATACAAGTAGAGAAAAGAGATTGATTTAATAAGTACCATTCGCGAGCAACGTCCACTCGTGCTTGCAATATTATCATATGCATCCCACGTGCTTATAAGAAGGGAAACACGGAATTCCATTTATTTCTATTGATTTCTCTGTACTGTGCGTAAAAGATTAAACAAAAATTCCTCTTTATTTAAAGAAAGGAAATATTTCATACAAACTAACAACTTATGAAACAGTCAACGTATGATAATTAATTGGAAATTCAATTATAGCTCCTATATCTAATTGAGAAAGTCTTTGTTGTATCTATATGAATATCGATGACCGAATTATGTCATTTCAGGCGAAATTATCGCTATACACGTGTATTATGTGTTTCCCCTTTATCTATTTGCTCCATTTTGTCAATGCAAACTCACGCGACCTAACGATAACATTTTCTGATTGCCAGAAAATCATGACTTGTTTGAAATTATCGTTTTTTTAAACGATAGAACGATTATTTCTTTTTTTCTTTTTGCGAAAACAAGAATTATAATGAAGATTATAATGAAGCAATGAAAAATTAATGCAATGAAGAAAGCTGCATCATTTTCAGAGACTACATTTTGATTTAATAGTTTCTGGATATTCACCGGACATCACCGGTTGCTGTATAATTGGCTGACTCACGAACGTGTCTTCCTATACTTATCCGCTTTATCGTTCTTTTCACCGCATCTACGTGCCTAATTCGCAGAGAGGAACGCGACTTTATGAGTCAAAGCCCCAAGCAGATGCCCACGCGCCACTCTCAGCACGTGGTTACGTTTCAAACAAGATTCATATCAAGAATTGATGTATTAAACCATCTACAGGAAAGTAAATAAAAAACGAGATGCAGAATATGATAAATGGACCACGATGGAACGTTGATGAAAGACGTGTATCATTACGTTTAACAGATCAAAGTAACACAATAAATGTATCATCTTCAACAAATTTAAATAATCAGAGATAGTTGAAGTAACTTGTCAGCGTTATTCGAGTGTAAGTTACACAATTTCACTGAAAGTATATGAAGAGAGGTACTCACTATCTCTGGATTGCCAGCAGGATATGCAGACGTGGTAACCATTAGGAAGAAGACGACTATCAGGATGCACACAGAATTCCACGCTGTTAACTTCATGCCCGAAATTGTCGTAGATAGACGTCGGAAGCTACTTCTTCTACTCTCTCTTGATACACGAGATAATTTAGTTGAAGAACGTAGTCACCAGCTTGATACTTCAGTGTGATATTTGAAAAATTCTGCCAATCACAAACGCCCAAAAGTTAGTTTCAACGAAGAATATCAAACAAATTGCAGAATATCAAGATCCCGATCTCCTCTGTTTAAATTTACCTTTTATTTTCTTCTTTTTCTTTACACTTGATTGTATCGAGGAATAGACACCGCTCACAAGGATATCTTCACAGTAAAGTAGAAGAAGAGATGATAACGTGTTGCTCGATAAAACGATGGAAAAAGAGTCACCGATGAAGAGTTTCTTGGCTGAGCGTTCAACGTAGAACTGACTTTGGGAAGTGGCCTCGCCATGATTTAATATAGGAGCTACTTCTCCGCACTCCCACCCTCTCACGGCGTTCCAGTTGTCCCTCTGACCTAGGGCATTGTCTTCGACGGAAAAACCTTCGGCACGCGTCACTCAAGGAATCGTCTCGATCTTCCCGGAAATCGTCCAAGTACGTGATAAAATTGCAGGCTGAATAATTCTTTCAAAAATCTCAACTTTCAACACCTAACACATAGAAGAATTCCTTCAAAGGCCTGAAAACATTGAAAATCACAACGAACATATTGGTATCATTTTGTGAAATAATTATAGAGGAGATAAAGACGAAGAAAAGAAACAAATAATATTTGGTCTCACTCGTTCGCTTCTCTTTCAGGATGATAAGAAATTTGTAATTGGCCAACAGGGTGGAGATAGAGGCGAAATTCAGAAATAAACTGACCGTTTGATATCACGCAAACATTCCAAAGAACAATGGAGATCGGTCTCAAGAAGGGATGTCCACGTGTACCGCTATAAAATCTCATTGCTTTAAGGCCAATGCAAAATCAATAGACCGAGTTTCCCTTATCGTGACCAAGCTGGTGCAACAAGTAGACGGGAGAGAAAGAGAGAGAGAGAAACTCGTTTGAACTGTCTCGTATACGATGTCGGTCTGCGTGTGATCATTTAAATGAACGCGATAATATCAGCTTGTCTAAAAGTAAAATCTTGCCCCATTTGGAGAACGCCTTTAGTGTCTGGAGGCTAAGCAAATTAAGGATCATCACATGAGCTTCTGCGGTCCTTAAGGCCGCATGATCCGCTAATGATGGCGTTATGGAGAACACGGACGCAGCGGATAATTAATTCTACAAGATCGTTCAGAGACCTATACGCGTTATTTTTTTTAACGTTTATCGAGAGAATCTATTAGAAGATATCAATATTTTTGCGAGGAACTAAACGTTTTTAATGACTGTTTTAAAGAGAAAAAACTATTTTCGCTATTTATATAGTTTTGGCTAGTTAAATTTTTCATAGTTATAAGAGATATCTTCCTGTTTCATTTTTTCCAAATAATGTGCTAGGCATATTTTGTATATTTTTCTAAATAATCACAAAGATATTTTGAAACGTGCTTAGGAGCATTTTCAGTTTTGAAGACGTATAAAAGCGGACACAAAACATCTCGTAGCTATTGATTAATTAGGTAGGTCTACGTCGTTACTTAAGATTCACAGTACACGGATATCCGCTAGCTCACAGCTTTCTTGCATATTGCGTCAATTCTGTGGAATAGTAGAGTTAATTGCTTATGAACCACCTGATGACTGTTCCTTATTTATGTTACGTTACGTTCTATATTTTTCTAGAAATGCATAACAAGAAATCAAACGCGAACCCTAGTATTTTTCTAAATTACAAAACAATTTCTCTCTTCGGTAACAATAATTTTATATTATTTCCTATCATTGCTATATATATTCTCACTTTTTTGCCAATATCAACAATTTAATTTTAGACGTGCGAAATAATTAAATTTCATATCTCTAAATCTATCCTGATGGACTATATTAATCTGATATTAAACATCCGCTGCTCATAATTAAACGATTTAATATATCGTTACATAAGTTTCATATCTCTATTTATTCCAATTTATTAATTCATTCGGTATCAATAATTTATCTTTAACTTTCTCTTAATGTCTCTCAGTCTGCGGCCACAGTCATTTGCTCTGACAAAAATGATAGATCGTCGTGCGCACCAATCGGTTTTAATAATAAGTTTCCGATTTTTCGGAAAGATTAACGAACTGGAAAGCAAAGTTCCAACAGCCGATGAAGAATCAAAACTTTCGACAGTACCAGCCTTTATTCATTCTCGTTACGGTGCACAATGGAGAACGATGGTTTTCAACGTCGCTCCGGAATTGTTTGCAAATGTTCCAGTAAAATCAGGTCAGGACGAACCTGTTGAGGAAGCTAGGAACAAAGTCTTATCTCCCGCGGGGGCTGTCCTGATATTGTTACGTTACCTATTAATAAAATCGTATTCCCCTCACGTGTAGGTGTATATCGAGACGGGTATTCTATCTAATCTTTTTAGATTGTTGCAAACTGGTCGCCATCCTCCTGTAAACTTGCACAGCGGTGCATTGTTTCTTCCCGGTGAATCTGCCGGTGAATATGAATTTCGACGAGATCGAATTATAACGAGAAATCTAATAAATACAAGCGGTCCGATCCCAGTGACCTTGGAAAAAATAAAACGACGTTAAAGCTCTCTTCGAGGCATCTCTGTCTAAAATTCTTTTTTTCTATTTTCTAATGTTACTCGATGGACAAAAGCGGAATGCAACGGTTTCGAGTTTGGGAACCCATTGGTTCAAAAGTTATCAATATGTGACTCGATTTGGCAAGTCGCGTTGCGATGCGACCCGATCGCCGGAAAGATATGTGGCCCAACCAATACTACAACGATAACGCTCATAGTGTCGACAAAGCTGAACACTTAAAAATTTAAAGATCTATCTCCATTCCATAGGACAGAGCCGTATTGTTGACTAAGACGGTATTTTATTTTGTCAAGGTCATCCCACTGTCTGTTTTTATTATTTTTCTCGTTATACGCGCGTCACCAACAAGGTAATTAAAAAAGGTTTCGTCAAAATCCACGAGGACGTCACACGTCGATAGATTGACCTTATTCCCAATTAAATGCACCTTTGATCCATTTACATGTTTCGATTTTAATTTCGTTAAGATAATAGCTCTGTCAATTTATATGCTTAATACGTTTGTTGATATTTGCACATTCGGTGACGCGTACGTTGCATCGATGCAGCTATTTAAATAGTACTACTTATGCGTATATCTCGTGAGCTTAACAACACCGATAGTGAAAAAGATGGTGTAACTCTAAGGATAGGATAATACTTTAACAGTGACGTGTTAAGCTGTTCGTATTTTTAATATAATAAACGTTAATTATTTATCGTTGATTTAGCTAACATTTTAATATTACAATTATTTAGAGAATTTTGTATGTGCACGGAATATCCCAGTAAGAGTTAATTAAAGGAAACACTAGGAAATAATATCGTACAAAATACTAAATACCGTGCAACTATATTAGACATCTCAATGGTAATCGATGAAAAGGGAAACTCTGTGAAATACTATTATACTCTGTTAAGATACTAAATATAGATAGTGTATGTTTCTCGGTACTATCGCTTGTGTTTTGCTTGATGAAACATGCGTCTTTTCTAGCAACTTTCTGGCGAAAACTGGTGTATACCGAGAAGAATATTCGTGTAGGTTGTAAGAGACGCGTCAACCTAGATCTGAAGTAGAAGATTGCAGGAATTGCAGAAATTTTCATTCGGGGGTGTGCCTGCGTCAGCCTTAAGACTAATTAACTAATCGGATGTCGCGAGCGTCACAAGTATTACCGAAGAAGTAAACGCACGTCAAATATCATACGTATCTTTCCCAATTATAGTTAGCTCCTTACTTGAAATGTTTTTTTTTTTCTTGTTTCTTTCTTTATCGTCTTTAATTCGTTGTTTATTTTTATCTAGGTAAACGAACATTTTTATTTAAAAGGAGCATTTTATTTATTTATTTCTTTTTTTTCCAAAAAAGATATTAAGCACATTTTGAATGTATTAAGAACTGCGTGAATTTCGATATTTAAGATAATATTAATTATGCCTTTCAGCTTCTCAGCGTCTCAGCCCACACATTACCGCCCATGAAGATGCTTTGTGCATCATTCATCACATCTCTGCTCTCGCCATCTGTGTCAAAAACTCAATCACCTGACGATAGAATCGAGAGGTAATTTGATAAAACATTGTAATTAATAAATTATATGTATACTGTATGGATATGTTTACACATTTATTCTGAAATTGAAAAGAACAACAATAACAAAAGTATATAAAATTCTCAAAGTGAAGTATTCGTTGTAATAATTAGTAAGTCAAATAAAACTCTATTAAGTTAACTATATTCATAGGAATGTAAAATAGCATTAAGATCCACAGTCTAATTGTGGGAAATGTTTGGAAGTGAACTATTATAATTGAGAAATTAAAAGTACTTAAAGCTTTAATAGATCTTCAAGTACTAGCCTTGAAATGATAACTTAGTAGTTAGTCGATTTTAGACAGATTACATGCTTTTCATTTTGATTTGCTTAGGGATGAAACAATCCAGAATGACGAAGAGTCAGAGGAAAGCGAAGAAGAACTATCACGACCGGAAAATCGTGAATCTCCACCTGTAACTGAAATCGATAATGTCGATGAGACAAAAGTACAACTTGTCGATCACGATTGGTCTTTCCTTAGAACTATACTTCCAGATCGAGAGGAGATTGAACAACAATTGATAGATGACAATCTTGAACCAACTTTACCATCTGAAAATATTTATGATGTAGTGTGAAGATTTTTATTTCTACGATACACGAAAGAGGAATTGTTTATAAAATAATTGGCAAAACAATAGTGATTATAGATTTTTTAATAAATTATTTAAACGAATACAGAAACAAGAAAGAACAACTTCTATTTCATAAATTCTATTTATGATATTACTTTGTTGTAAACAATGTCCATATATAAATAATGTACATACAGTGGAACACCATGTAACGATTAATTAATACAGTGTGATTTAAATTTTAAAATAAAAAATTTGTCATAAAGTGTGAGTAAGAAAACTTGTTATTATGTAATAAGAAATTTCATAACGTTATGTCGGTTTTGGTAATTTATCTAATCGGAAACTGAACTCAACCAATTCAGTAACAGCTTCTGATAATCGTTTTCTATATACCGGATCAATTTTCATTATTTTAAGCACTGTTTCGTTTCTATTTACAAATTCAAACTCATGATAACTGTCAGAATTATTCATAATTTCTGCACCTACTTTTTCATCCAATAACACAGTCTGGAAATATATAGCTGCGGTGATTAGAGCACATAATCTCTGCTCTTCCATCCCTTCAATTAATTCTGACCAAGATGGAACTTGCACAGAAACTGATTTTGCTGAGGTCAGTGTTTCACACAACACGCTATAGTAATGCTTCAGCATAGCCTCTTCCCACTTTTCTCTAAAATCACGATCAGCGCAAAGATACAACAATTGTATCACGTCGTGCGCCAGAGGAGAATATCTTATTAGCTGGAAATCTACCAAAAAACACTTGGGAGGTACTGTGTTACTGAACATCAGATTATTCCCCCATAAATCTCCATGACTAATAACATTTCTTTTTGTAGCTGACATTTCTAAGGCTGCGTATACTTCTTCACAAGCTTTTGGTATCATACTGGCATCCAGACCAAGGTGTTTAGCTACAGCAACTATGGCATTCACACTTACTTGAAACCACATTTTAGTCTTGCCAGTCTCGGAGAAAGCATTCTCAACGAAAGCATGTGGATACATTTTCTTCAAAGACTTTCCAAAACGTGCTTCCACTAACAGAGAGGATGCATGCATTCTGGCAATGGATGTTAAACTGGATACAATGAGCTCTTTGTCGAATAACCTATTCCTCAACGAATAGCCTTTAACACCTAAATCTTCAAATACCAGGAGATTCTCCTTGACCAAGAAACAAGTTGCAGTCCATGGTTCATCTTTATACTCATGATACAGTTGAGGAAATATGTCACGATAGAAGATTTTCTCCTTTAGAAAGACACATTTATCAAGCACGTATTCAGCTTGGCTGGGTACATCGTACGGCACGACTTTAACGAAGAAGGACAGGATCTCTCTCCCATTTGCGGTTTTGACTTCTACGCTGAGCTTCTGATGTGATCCCAAAAATCCGAGCTTCCCATCAGAATATGATCTCAAGAAGAATTTGTGCACCACTGTGTTGCTGCCTGTTGCATGTTTCACTAAAGTTTGTACATCTTGAAGGGTGAATAAATTTCGATAAGCATCCACATTAGATAGATGTTGTCCGCTGATCGAGTATTCTGGCGCGATTCGAACCTCCAGCTCTGATTTTGACATGGTTGAGGAAGTAACTATCGCAACGACTGATCCTCTTTATATAAGCATCAACCATAAGCTACTTTCCTTTTTAGACCGTAGGTATCTATGATGAATTTACAACAGGATACTTGTACCTGTTTTTTGGCGTGTATATTTACCGACAATCAGTGCTGAGATAAAGCGGCAACGAGACAAAAGATCTGTGCGCCACATGATTCGGATTACGCTACTATCGAGTACGTGTAAACATCGTAATGTTTGCTCTGTCTCTTCATTCTATTATGCATGCTAAGCCTGTGCAACAGCTAACTTTAACGCTAAAAAAAGCAATAACTGACACGGTCACATAAATCGTTCTTTGTCCAAGTTCTAATACTTTAATTCATGAAGATTTGGATTTTACGCTATTCTGTCTCGACGAACAAATAACCAATACGGTAACTCGAAGATGCTTAAGATACTGGCACCCATGAAGAGACCAACCGCACTTCCAACAGAAACTAAAAATAACAAACAATCAGATAACGTAACGTTGTAAGATAATATGGTACAAGGTGTTTCAGACATTGACAAATTTTAGAAACATATAATAATATTTGAAATATCAGAAAAGCTTATTACAAATATGAAGTCAAATTTGTTTGGTTATTGTAATATAATGAATACTAACTTCTCCATTCTAGCTTTATGTCCATACAAATATCAAAAATAAAAATTTGCCTACATGGTAATCACAGTAGAGGAATTCATATGTCAAACAATTGATAATCAAGGAAAATAATAATGAGTAATTCAACATACTAATTATTTTACGGTCTGTATATATCTTTATCTCAAAGAGAAAATTTGTTACTTTATAAAATAAATTTTTCTTTTATTCTGGCAGTATGGTTATAATTATACGGTTGTAATGTTCCATTAATTTATGTGATTATGTTTTCCCAATTGCTTCGTCAATGTCGGAAAAACAGCTTGTTTAATAGTTGATAAAAATAGCGCTGATAATGAAAAGATCTGTAAAAAAGAAAATGCGCGAGAAATATTCTTCCTCTACATCTATATAATATTTTATTACAAATGACTAAATAATTGTCACTATTAATTACTATTGTTAATCGTTTACCTATAACGTCTAAAAGATCGTTAACCACATATCGACGATAACGCACCGTTGGATGTGATAGCAAGGTAAAATGAAGTCGTGCATACATTTGACTCGGAGTATCATATTCAGAGGGTTCCAATCGATTTCTGCAATACAAAATACCACTTATACTTAAAAGCATTATAAATTAATTTGTAAACAAATACAAATTAACAGATATTTTGTGTCTAATATAGTGCTTAGAAGAGATAAAATAATTACTTTCAAAAGAATGAGTGCTACATTGTACGATACAAGTGATCTTAGGGTATTTTAATATTTTCAAGATATTCTACGCTAATTGTCTTTCAATTAATGCCTTTCTTCAACTCCACAAGTGCGTTCAAACGTGTTCATACATAAAATAAAGGGAACTATACTATCTCATGCAAAACTTTCGATCCGAGCATAATATTTTTATAGAATTCGTACACGAGCAACAAAGTCCCTTCGCAATCCGGAAGACATTTTTCGTCTCTGAGCGATTGCAAGTCGATATTCGTTTTATTGGCTATTATGCAGACCGTCTCGGTGCCGTTGCAAGCTCTTGCCCCTTGGGGTACGAGATAATAAAAATTCACGCATCCGCAAAGCTTTATCATTCGTTCTATAATTACCTAGCGATAAATACCACTTAATTTATTAGTGCCGACATATAAATCAAGCTCCGTCGGCCAACAATGGGCAAGGTTTATTGTATATTCGAAAATACATCGGTGTAGTTACGACAAAAAAAGAAAGATTGACGTACTTCCAGATAGCACGAGTCGCTACTGTAAATGTTAAATAGATTGTTCGCTAGTATTTCGTCGCGAAACCGACAGCCCCTGTGCTCAGCAGCAATATTCTTCACGCCAACCTCGTTGAACGTGTCTTTCATTATGAACTCGACTCGGGTCGTTTTTCCGGCTTTTATACGTATCTCGTCCATGCCCACATTGTTAAGCATTGGTAACTTCAAATTATTCAAAAGATGTACCTGTAAGTGTATAATTTTTGTATCGAGTATTTCTTTTCTTTTTATCTTGAAACAGTATTATATAACAGTATTTAAAACCAATATAGTAATTTATAACAGGCTGTCTAGTTTGATTTATAAAGTAATACGTACCATTTTGTACATTGAACTTACAACTAAAAACTACTTTTGAAGAAACATGTTTGATTAGTATTAAATTTTAAATGATGCAAGCTTTTAATTAATTGTCTCGAGGATATAAGAAGGATCAAATTTGATCAATTTGTGTTTCTTTAAAGCTGCTTGATGATTCATTAATGGTGTATTGTATATCATATGAACGCGTCCTCAGCTAATTGATGAAGCTAACTGTAATGCACATGGAACATTTTATCAAAAGATCAGACTATGTTTAGATACTTGAAATCTTTGTTTATATATTTGCTTTGACTTTAAAAAAAAAAAACCTTAATTACGCGCTGCCGTATTTCTTTAAGGATAACTGTAACTCTCTGATCAATACTTCCTTTTGGATCACCCAATATTGTTCCTTCTATTGTTTACTCTTGCAAAAACACGTGAGGAAGTGATTTACTTGTTTAAGTATTAAATTAATGACCGAATTATAGGTAATATTTTTTAAATAAAATTAACATTAAATTATTTAACTTGTTAATCAACCTTTTAAGTAGGGCGAGTTAAGTCGCCACTCAGATACTATTAAATATAACAATTTTTTATTTATAGATCTATTTTTAATGCTGTTTTTTATTAAAAATTAAGCATATCATGTTTGTGTCTACAAAGACTAAAATCGACCCAACTATTATTAATTTGTTTTCATTAAGTTCTAACTCTATAATTATACTAGTTTTTTTATTAAAATGTGATCCAGTTAACTGAATAGAAATATTATTAAAAAAAAAAAAGACAAGTACGAACTGTGAATCCAGCGAAAAGATATTTCTTCATCTTTGCATCTAATCGAATATCGACGATAAGATCGCCGTACTTCACGGTGCGATTCACAAAGAAATGTACGCCGGGTTTCAAATGGAACGTATTCATCGCGATGCAATATCCCACGCCAGTTTTCCTCAATTCCTGAAATTCAGTGCAGCAGTCGAATTTTACGTTGTTCCACGTGCATTCCGCTAAGAATTCTTCGCAAGGAACACGCATCTATGATAAATAAAGGTAGAGAGATACATATTTACAGTATTTCAACTTTAGCGCCCGATAAATGTGATTATCTAACTGCAAGAAAATTAATAATCATTCACCTCTTGATAAAGAGACAAAAGATCTTCCGTCGATGCACGGAGGAAATTCGGGTTGGAATAATTGGTGAACAATCCCGGGTTTCTTAAAAAAAATAACAAATTTTTTATATTTTAATTTGTAATATAAGTAATTACGATTTTAAATATAATAATATTTTAAATTGCTTAATAGTAATACAAATTTCCTGTAATTAAATTTTAATCATAATGCAAAATGGCAAAATATTTCTTAAACTAAAATTTTAACGTACCTTTTGAAATATTTTTTAATGGCGGAAGTGGAAGTAATGCAAAAAGCAACCGTAGGAAAGGATGTTTGCCAATCAACATATGTAGTCTCGGTAGTTAAAGCAACAGGATATTGAATATAATTTCTCACTACATCATTAATCATATTTGCACAACCGTACCAAGACAGTGCACAAAAAATTAGCCAAAATAATCTGTAAATTAGTTGTAAAAATGTAATGTTCCTTCGTCATTATTTAATTAAAATTATTTCTATCCCACTATATGAATTGTATATTTCATATTATAAATTTTCAATCTACATAAAAAAAAAGAAGGGAAATTTAAAACATTGCATCGGTACATGTTAATAGTGTTAATTGTGATTTTTATAAATAATAATTTTTAAATAGACGCGTTTACCTTTCTATATACGAAAGCTGATCGTTCACAAGATATTTAACACCGTGGATAGTACAATTTGTTAAATATTGTTTGATAATTTTCCACCACCAAACGAATTTTGCCTTCATTGTTATGCTAAACTAACGTTCTAGATTCAACTAATCGAATTAAATAAACTGCTTTCTTAATTATAAACGAATCGATTAAATATGGTACGAGTTATTTCATAAATTATACAAACATTTTGATTTAATCACTGGATGCATGCATAAGTTTATGATTATTTTATTACGCGAGCTGAGCTTGTTTCATGCATTGTTTTATATCTTTAGAGATCAATTGAATAGAATATTTCATTTTTATATTGTTTCACTTTTATTGCAGTAAGTATAGATAATTTAAACTAAATTAAATAAGTTAATAAAAAATTGATAGTAATTCGATAAAAATGGATAAAAGATATTTATAGTCATTTTTTATCATTTCACTATAATTACAATAATTAAAACAAAAAATAAATTTTGTAAAAAGTGATATCAAGTTCCCTTCTCATTATGTTCTTTCCTTTTACCAATATATATATATATATATATATATATATATATATATATATATATATATATATATATATATATATATATATATATATATATATATATATATATATATATATATATATATATATATATATATATATATATATATATATATATATATATATATATATATATATATATATATATATATATATATATATATATATATATATATATATATATATATATATATATATATATATATATATATATATATATATATATATATATATATATATATATATATATATATATATATATATATATATATATATATATATATATATATATATATATATATATATATATATATATATATATATATATATATATATATATATATATATATATATATATATATATATATATATATATATATATATATATATATATATATATATATATATATATATATATATATATATATATATATATATATATATATATATATATATATATATATATATATATATATATATATATATATATATATATATATTAATGTATTTTTATAATAATAAATTATAACGAATAGTAGTAGTAATAGTAAAAGTATTTGCTGCTCCATCCGTATATTAGCCAATGTTTCAGATATAATATTAGCCTGATATAGTCCAACAAGTACACAAAATATACAAAAACTAAATTATAACAAATATATGAATTTAAAATTTCTTAATAATAAATAATTATTGATGTATTTTTTTATATTACATTTATTTCATTTTTATTCTCTAAGTATACATTTTGCAGACATGTAATAGGTATTTACAAGCATGTAGCACGCGCACATGATGGAGTGAAGTACCGGTAAGCGTGTATACATTTGCGTATATTTTGAGGTTAGCTTTTCGAAGATAAGTTGTATATCATAAATTTTACTAATTATTGTTTAATTTATATTAAGTAATTGAAAACGCATGTGGCATTTGTTTTAAATTTAAAAAAATGACAAGATATTTTATTAAATTTTCATATCTTGGTACACTGTACAGGTACAATTAATCATATTATTTATAATCATAATCATATATCTATTTTTAATAATTTTAACTCACAATAACTCACATTCATGTTTGAAGTTACTTCTAAAAAATTATATTTTTTGTATTTTTATACAGATTACAGTAGGTAAAGAATAAAATGTAGAATTTAAAAATGAAATTTTCTATAATACCAGTTTTTAAGATATTAGAATACAAATTATGTGTATATATATATATAAAATAGGTATCTTTTATTACTTTTATTTTATTTGTATGTTTAGTGGAATGCAAAAAAATATAGTTAAAAATACAAATATTCAGATATATGATGTTGACACCATTCAAGGTGCTATAGAAAATGCTTTCTCAACGTTGTTTCCAAAAAGTATAGTATGGCCAAAATTAACTTGTTGTAGTAGGTAATGTTTCTACATATTGTCAATTTTATTTGACATTATATTGCAAGATATTAATTATATACAGGTATGTGATTAATATTGATGAAACAAATTTATAGAACAGATCTAGGTGTACATGCGATACATAATTCAGCTCATATTGATGTGGGAAATAAGTATGATGCTATTTACAATCCTGAAATGGCACTTAGATACGTTAATCGGTATTTTATTAAATGCGGTCACAATATAAGGTAATCAAATGTTTAATAATTCCTATATTTTTTGATCATTAAAAATTAATAATATATCATTTTAAGGTTATTGGAAGTAATTCCAGTAAAGGATACATTTCATGTAAGACAATGTGCAAATTCTAGGACTTATCTTTATAGAATTCTGAGAGCTAAGAATAACAATGATCACAAAATTCCTATAATGGAAATGGATCATTGTCTGCACCTTAAGTATAACTTATGTCATAAGTATCATGTCATAACTTAGTATTATGTCACAACTTATCAATTTTATGAAGTATTTGTTACAGGTCAGATACTTTTGATCCTGAAAGAATAAAACGTGCAATACAACTTTTTATGGGAACAAAAGATTTCAGAACATTTTCTGCAAAAACTATATCAAGTGTACCAATTAATTATGTAAGGAGTTTGTACAGCTTAACTTTTGAGAAAGGTTCTCCATTTATGCCGTTTGATCCTCTCTCTGAAAATTTTGAATTTTGGGAATTTAAATGTTCATCAAAATCTTTTGTATATAAGCAGGTATAATTAATAAATATTATTTTATATAAGAGAGAATGTATGTAATGTACATTACAATAGATGTGTTAATGATATTAATACTTTTATTTGCAATATGTGTGCTTTTCTAATAAATTATTTTTTGTAGGTTAGACGAATTGTAGCTACTTTAATTGCTTTAGGTACAGGTAAAATAACAGAAAAAGATATAACTGTAATGTTACAAGTTCCTGGCCATCAAAATTTTCTACGTATTTTACAGCCAGTACCAGCAACTGGTTTATTCCTTTTGAATGTAGGATATAACCAAGAGTACTTAGATGAACATATTATAAAATATAAAATATCCGATGATGGAATAGTCATACCATTAAATGAAACTGAAGTATAATATACATCTAGGAATGTATACAAATATCACCAAATAATATTTTTTAATTAATTCAATTATTTTTTTTTTAAAGTACTAGTAAAGTACATTGACAATGGACCTAAATAGTCTAATAAGAAGTAAAAAATTACAATTAAAAAAATGCAAGACTATTGTAACCAACATGCTTGGTCAAAAATATGTAGAGATTGATGGAATAAACACAGAATTGTCCTCTACTGCTATGCCATTTGTCATAGATGATAGACCAGACTTACAGATTGCACATGTAATACAAGGACTATTCCTAAGTTCCCAAGATCCTGTTGTAAGCAAAGAAATCTTGCAAAAGCGTAAGATTCGTCATGTTTTAAGCATTGGTATTGATGCATCAGTAAAATTTGATGACATCAAATATTATTATTGTGACTTGTTAGATTTACCTGAGTCTGATTTACTCATAGCAATTAAGAAATGCATTAAAATCATACACGAACATCGCGATGAAAATATTCTTGTACATTGTAATGCTGGTGTATCTCGCTCACCAGCAATTGTTATATCTTATATAATGGCTTACGAAAAAATATCTTATGATGATGCATATAATAAAGTAAAAAGTGTAAGAAATTGTATTAAACCTAATGAAGGATTTGTACAGCAATTAAAAAAAGCACAACTCTCAAACATATTATGATAGGTAATTACAAATGTATTGTATTAAAATTTATAAAATTTAAAGTTACTACTGTAGAGAATAGAAGGAAAAAATAACACTATTTTAACAATAGATTAATTATGTATATATATTGTTACAGTAGAATTCATGTATCATGACATAATGTGTACAGAGAATATTATTTCATAATTACAATTACTTTGTATTTATAATTCATTAGAAAAGGTACATTCATGCACAGCATCTATCAAATTTTTAGCCAAAACTAAGCATATTAAAATTGCTAATTCTGGCATTTTTGTATAAACCATGCATTGGAGATGACATATAAGTCGTCGTACCAAGTAGTTTTATAAAAATTACTGTAAATCTAAAAAATATAGATGAATTTCTGTATACATGATAGTATCTATTATTTTATTTGTGATAGTAGTATATCATTGTACCTGTAGTACAATAGCTATCATATCGATTATATAATAATAATAATAATAATAATAATAATAATAATAATAATAATAATAATAATAATAATAATAATAATAATGTAATTATTATCAATATTTATATAGTGTATACATATATATATGTGTGTATATATATATATATGTATATTTATATATAATTATGTATAATCTAATATTCACATTCCTCCAACAATTGAAATGAGCTGTCTTGAAGAAAATAGACAAGGCACTTGAACCGAATATCTTTTTCTTAGCTAGTTGGCCTCATAAATAGTAGAATGCAAAAATTTGCACATCATACAGCAAACAGTAAAATAGAAAGAATAAATAAAATTAGCTATTCAAAGAATACGACGTATCGCTTGCATTATAAATATTCATGATTCTTTTCTTTTAATGACGCCAATGATCTCGTGTCTCGTCTTTGATGACTGCACAAGAGCAGTACAAAAATAGCAAGGCCTTCTAAAGATTATGTTCCCCAATGCACATTAAATCCAGCATTTAATAATATACATGACCATATTTATCTTTTGTTGGCAGATTCATTCACTTTATAGCGCAGTGAAATTTGACGAGTATAAAGCGATCTTATTAATTATACTAGCTATAAAAAAGCAGGAAATTATATCTAGGAACGTTTTCCTTAGAAAGACCTTAAAGTTTCACATTTAGCAAAAAATTTGTGTAGACTCTAATATCATAATGTGGTTCAAAAACAGTTCCACTTAAGTCCAACATAACAAAAAAATGCAATTTATATGTACAAAAAATATAAATAAATTAACAAAACATGCTTGGTTAAACGCAAACGCATTTGACCACGCAATCCATACGGATAGAGACAATCTGAGATATATATAATATACATAAAAAATTAGTTCCTACGAAGCCACAGTCTTAAGTACAACATATCTGTACCTGAAAGGCATATCAGCAGCAATAAAAGTTATTAAGAAATCGGGTATTTCTGTGACAAATGAAATTACGCGCAATTTGCGTCTGACTGTATGTGTGAATATTTCTAACATGGCAATCAACCTAAAATCATGCGTTACAGTTACAGATACATAGGTAATTAGTATATGAACTGTAAATATAAACACCATCGTCAAACGTTATGTAGTAAACCAGTATCAGAGTCCAATAGAGTGGCCAGGTCGTATGCAGCAACATCAGTAATGGAACAGGGAACCACCTAGCATGTATGTACCCTTCTGTATGATTTGTCAGAGGAAAGTTACCATATAATGTTATATGTTTCATTGATTTTTACGCTATTTAAGTATTAACGTTTCACACCCCAAGGACCATCAGGATTAGTTACAGGTACGTGAGAATATCCGGCAAATTGCGGAAATTCTTCAACGCTAGCGGTGTTCGGAGCACTTTGTTGTTGCTGCTCCCAAGGTCCTCCTTTCACTACAAACCCGGAATTTCCAGAATTCCTTTCGTCGCGTTGAGGTGAACGTAAATTTTCGCGGTACTCATTTTCTATAACGTCTTGAATCTGAAATTCAGTAAATATTATATAAAGAGAATCTCTTTTATCATAATTTATAAAAATTTGTATATACAGGATGGTTGGTAACTGGTGGTACAAACGGAAAGGGGGTGAGTCTACGCGAAAAAAGAAGTCGAAAATATGGAATAAAAATTTGTCGTTTGAGGCTTTGTTTTCGAGAAAATCGACTTTGAATCTTCGTCCGGTACACGTGCGATACGTTATAACGGATCTCGCTGTAGACCGTTGTCTCGATGGAAAAATTTAAAAAAAAAAAAGATGAAAAAAAATTTTTATTCTATATTTTCGACTTCTTTTTCCGCGAAGAATCACCCCCTTTCCGCTTGTACCACCAGTTACCAACCACCCTGTATGTTTCGTAGTGAACTTACATATTCTTCTTCTAAATTCAATAAACGATCTTTTGCATCAGCTACATTTTCTTCCGTACCCACAATTGTTACAATATTGGGATCAGGATCGGTTTTCCTTGGAAATTTAATATCAACTTTAAACTCATCCATTATTTTACGAATATTCCTTCCTTTCGAACCGATTAAACGCGAATGCACAGCAGCATTTATATGCACTTCTTCTTTCGTCAAGTCATTCTAAATTATACGAAAAAAAGTAGTTTTCATTAATAATCATTATATACAAAAAGTGATATTTTAATAAAAAATATTAATTTAAAAAGAAAATGATATTTTAGACAAATAATATACTTACTAATTCGTTAACAATTTTCATGATATCGTCTTTTGCAGTGCAAGCATTTTTTTCATAACCAGTGATTGTAATGATATGTTCTTCTGGATCACCTTTACGTGGAAAATTAATTTGAACATCATGATCACTACGTATTTTATTAATCACGGCTCCTTTTCGTCCAATTATCTTTGGATGATATTCTGGATCAACTTCAATCTAAAATAAAATGCGTTATTTTATTTTAAAATGTTTATTTATAAATATAAGCAAACGTACCTTTAATTCGAACGATTTCAAAGCTCTATCTTGACGTTCAGCTTCCAAAGCTTTACACTTATCGAGTATAGCTTGTTTTGCATTTTCAACACACGGTGGTGTTCCAGAAATCTAAATAGAATATAATATTAGTCTAATATTAAACAGTACATTGATGTTACACTTTGATATTAAACATTATATCGCATATACCTTAATATAATCAAGTTTTTCCTCCGCTGGAGATAACATGATATGAACATCATATGTATTCATTAGTTCCCGCACATCACGACCCTTTTGACCTATTATAGAGCGATGAAGATCAAACGGCACCTCCACCTAAAAATAATGTTATAATTTATGCAACTTTTCGTCATTTGTCAAATTATTTGATATGTAAATTAATCGATAAAAGTACTAACTTCTATCGTAATTGGTACTAGATCAAGCAACGCTTGTTTAGCAGCAGCTACATTTTCTGGTTGCCCAGTAATGCGAATAACATCACACGCTGGAACAGTTTCGGGAACTTCACCATTCTCACCGTTCATTTGTTCTGCTACACGCTGTTCATCTAAAATATGAATATTCCAATCAAAAACTTGTAACTCTAAACTGGTAACATTCCTGTAACTCTTTTAAAGGAAATTTTTTATACCAACCATATGTTTCCCGATCAGGGAATTTTATTTGTACATCATACTCAGACGTAATCATCTGCACTTTACGTCCCTTTGCTCCCATAACTGTACGATGATGTTTTTGAGGTATTATACATTCTTCTGTCACCATTGATTCCTAAGAAACAACACACATAATTTATGTATAAAGTAATTACGAAATTAGAAGAAACAAGAAGACAAAACTTACCAATTCTTGTACAATTTCACGCATTCGTTGCTTCGCTGCTTCTATACATTCATGTGATCCTTTTAAAATTACTCGATCACTATCGACGCCAGCTCTCGGAAATGAAATTTGTACTCCTCCACATTCATCTGCAATACGATGTAATACACCTCCTCTCCGAGCAACAAAATGTCTATGATGCATCGGATCAATGCGAATTTCACCTTCAGTAATATTATCCTATAAAACAGATGAAACATAAACAATAATTTGATCCAGATAATGAAGAATAATTTTAAGTTAAAGCGAATTTTAACATAATTAAAGATATTAAAGACTTACGATTTCGCTAATTGTAGCTTCTAGTTCAGCTTTAGCTTTTTCAACAGCCTCTTTCTTTCCCATAATTGTAATTATTTCCTTATCCTGATCTGCTTCCGTTGGAAATATTATACGTGCTCCTGTGGATTCTCTTATCTAAAATAAATAAAATAAATAAATTATAATTAATATATAATTATGTAATATAAGATATGCAATAAGTTAGCTCACAAACCTTTTTGATATTGGCACCATTCTTTCCAATAAGGAATTTATGATGTTGTACTTTGGCACGTACCTCAGCCGAATAACTGGACAATTGTTTTTCATTTGTAAGCTCAAGCAACTGTTGTTTTGCCTTCTCAACATCTTCTTTAGGCCCCCTAATAGTTACCTATAAAGAACACAGCTAGATTAATGTTTAGTGTTGATAATTTAAATTAAACTCTTTACCTTATCACTCCGACTCTCTGCTGTAGGAAATTTAATTGCAACACCACCACAATCTTCCATAATAGAGTGAATTAATTTTCCACCAGTACCAATAAGAGAATTGTAAAACTTTGGTGGGATTACTATCTCATCCATAATAATATTGGCCTAATGTAAAACATTTACTCAATGCAATCACGCAATTAACAACTTAATATTTTTATAATATAACGATATAAACATTACCAATTCATTTTGTATTTTTTGAATCATTTCTTTAGCTTTTTCTACATTCTCTTTCTTGCCAGTGATGGTTATAACATCGCTTTTCTCACCTTCGGCAGGTAACTCAATTTTAGTTTGTGTTTCTTCTCTGATCTAAATTATAAATACGGACAATTATTTTATTTATAATTTATGTTTTAAGATAATAATTACGCATGCATAATTAAGATAAGATATTTGAATACCAACTT